CTGTCCAAATTTCAAATACCGTAACGTTATTTGACAAGTATGACAGTACTTACGGTATGAGCGTTAGTGGAGCCGCCCGCTACCCAACGGGAGTTAGCGGATGCTTTACCGTAACGCTATGCTATGTCAAAATTAGTTCACGCACCATTTACGTCTGTAAGAACAGCAACTTTTAATAATTCCTCGATAAAAAGCACTAAGGAAAAATTATTGAAACTCAGGAATCTTCAGGATAAATAAAAGTTGGCAAACAAGCAAAAAAAAAGTTGGGTTAGATCACTCAATTCAGCTGTCAAAATGTAAACAGAATAAAGGCCGAAACCCACTAGCAACACGCCACGCCACCCCACGCCATGTGACACAGGTTCACGTGGCACAGTTTGTGTGCAAATGGACGGATGGCGTGGCGTGCCATGGCGTGGTATCGCGTATGGCAAGTGTGTACGCAGCACATATAAATAAATGGAAAAATATACGCATACATTTTCGTCACATGGCGTGGCGTGGCGAAGCATGACGTGGCGTGTTGCTAGTGGGTTTCGGCCTTAAGGAATTAGAGGATTTTTGTGAATTCGTGTCCGAGAATTATGAAATAGCATTTAAAATACCGTATTGTTAGCGGTACCGTATTAGCATAGCGTCTGAGGCACGAGAACTTTCTAATATCATTATACTTTAATATTAACATTACCTAAAAAAGCCCCCGCAAATTTGGTGCATCAGGGGAAAGGGGGATGCACTATGAGCGACTCGAGTGCTTTCCGCACTTTTGAAAGGAACGTTCACGCTTTTGACACCAAGCAGCTCCGAGTAACTCAACGGGTAAAAGGAATACAGTAACAGATCGCATGGCAAAGCTGCTTTGGCTTATGTATGCGCTGTTGTAGGATTGTAGACATCTTTTTTTAAATTTTACCTGATTTTTTATTTTAAAGCTTAAAATTTGTATCAATTGTTAAGAAGACTTACGCCCCCCTCAATGTTGCTTCAAGCCCCCCCAGGGGGGCGCGCCCCCCAGTTTGGGAACCGCTGCTATACAGGGTGTCCCACGGTGGATGGCGTATTAGACGTTTATGGAGAACTAAAAAACAAATCATTTTGAAAATTTGGCAACCGGGATAAACAAGCATAACCTACATTTTAAAAATATTTTTGTTTATGCGGTGTTGCCGCTTCTACTCTAAACCAGTGGAAACATCGCTATTTTAAATGGAACACCCTATACGTGATTGCATATTTGGATTCTACGTAAAATTCTGAGCAGATTTCATGTGATATACCCTATACCTAGGTTCAACTGTTTTGGAAATATTAACAGTTGAAAATTGACTTTTTGTAACTTTGACATGCTGTAAAGCCTGAACGGTTAATTTTAGAGGAAAACCGATTTCACATTCCTATCTTAGATTTTTATAAACTATCATTTGACACCAATTGTGAATTTAATCCATGATTAAAAATTCCAATTAAGTAAATTTATTCTCCGGTTAAATTCAAAATTGGTGTCAAATGATAGTTTATAAAAATCTAAGATAAGAATGTAAAATCAGTTTTCCTCTAAGATTAACCGTTTAGGGTTTACAGCCTGTCAAAGTTGCAAAAGGTCAATTTTCAACTGTCAATATTTCCAAAACAGTTGAGCTTAGGTATAGGGTATATCACATAAAATCTGCTCAGAATTATACGTAGAATCCAAATATGCAATCACATACAGGGTGTTCTATTCAAAATAGCGATGGTGCCACTGGTTTAGAGTAGAAGCGGCAACACCGCATAAACAAAAATATTTTTAAAGTGTAGATTATGGTCGTTTATTCCAGTTGCCAAATTTTCAAAATGATCCGCTTTTTAGTTCTCCATAAACGTCTAATACGCCATCCACCGTGGGACACCCTGTATGTACCGGGTGATTGTCTATATTTTGCTTGTACACCTATCTCACCTGATTGAAGAGATACTCAGAAATGTCGAATGTGAAAGAACGAAAGTTTTAGGTAATATCTAATCTAAGGTAATATCAGAAACTTTGCAATGAAGTTCCTTATCAGTATACAGGGTGTGTCACAAAAGTGCGGCGGAGCAAAGTTAAACTTTTTCAAATTGAAAACCTTGTATATTATTGTCCCATTGAATTAGCTTTACAAACCTGATATCAAATATACTAAGTATTTTAGGTTTATTCTTCTAGTCCAGCCTCTGAATATCCCATTTTGAAGAAATTATATGGATTTTTTACATAAATGATTACCTTTATATTTTGCTGGTGGTCTCTATAGTTCACCTTTTTCAATTAAAAATTCAATTATTCCACCTTTTTTTGTCCTATTTTCTCCTGGGGATAAATCTAAAAAACTAAGTATATTTGGAATCAGGTGCAAAGGCCAATCCATTAAAAAAAATATAACTTTGCTTCGCCACACTTTTGTGACACACCCTGTGTACTTGTAACTAACATCCTTGAAAACTTTCTGATATCACCTTCAACTTTCACATTTGACATTTCTTGGTATCTCTTCAAACAGGTGAGATAGGTGTGGGTGCAAAATATAGACAATCACCCGGTATAACCAGAATGGGACACCTACTGATACTATGGCCATTGGCTTTTGATGTTGATTAAATCCTCTTCTCGCTGGCTCATTTTATAATTCCTTCCGTTATTGAGAAAAAAAAAAAACTAAGAGATTTTTGTGCATGATTCTAATAGATAAATAAATAATTGAACAAAATAATTTTAAAATAAGATAATTGTGAAATTGGAAACCCATATAAGTATGCAAACTCGCTGCTTCCGCAAAAATTACTGAGGGTCTTGTTGCAAACACAGAAAAAAAAACTTGATTTTATTTTTATACAATTTGAACCCACTGAACAAAATAAGATTACAGTAATAATGAGGTAACATTGCACTGCAAACTTGTAAGGTTATATTGAAGTTTACTGTAATGTTGACGCAGTATTGCGGCAAGTACTGAAACAACCTTAGGGTAATATTACAAATGCAAGGTTTATAAATGATAACCTTTCAGCAATATTACTGGAATATTAGATCAAAACTTCAGCAAACTTACGAGAGTAATGTTGCAACTGTAAATACTATGTACCTACTTACCTATACAGAGAGATTTGAGTTGCGGTGCATAAACTCTAACAGCTTGTTCTAAAATCAAGCTGTTAAAATTTGTGCCTGAAACCCATAATCATATAATACGTAGATATTTTATTATGAAAAAAAGTAGAAGTTTTTGGAAAACAAAATAAAAAGGTTGGTAGGTATATTATGTATATCTATAATACTCACAATAAAAATATATACTTAGGTGAAAAACAAAACGTAAAAAGTAATATCTCAAAGCAAAATAAATAAAAATTCTAAACAGAAAAAAAAGCGAAATTTTAGATTGGTTGACACACAGGACGAAGTAGGTACTGGCTGCTACCACAGCTGCTACTTATATTGTCACCTGAAACAAAAACAAAATCAGGGAGTAGTTCTGTATTTTTATTATAATAATTATTCCCCGTCGTAGCCACTTTCTTTCTGGACAATACCTACCAAACGGTTTACGATATTTTTGATCCTAACTAAAATATTATCGTAAAATCATAATAAGTAATATAATAATAATACGGGATTTGTAGGTATGAAAAAAAGAGGTTACGGTTTACAAAAAAGGGGCCCCATTCCGCAGTATTTTTGTAAAAAGTATTTATTGACTATGCAAACCTTATTCACCTTATTTGAATCCTCATCCATTGTAATCGCTGTATATTTATTTCATTTCCACAGGTTCTAAAATAAAAACTGAATAATAAAAATAACCAAAAAGTAAAGCACTACCTAAACCGTTCCAATACGTCATAATCCCAACACAAACACCAAAAATTTAGCCGAGATTCGCTTTATCACAGACACAACATTCAACAAGCAGACACAGCACTCAACTCAAACGACAAACAGCGACTTGATGGCGTCGATTTGCTTTCGGTTTGGTTCGTATCCCCGATGTCGTTCCGATCGTTATTAATGGCGGCAAAGCTTTTGATTTTCCAATATATTATTTCTGCTATATTGCAGCAAGTTTACATTCAATATTAAATTATAACATTGCAAAATAATATCAACGGAACTTTAAGGCATCTTTGCGATGTAACCTTACCTACAAGTTATATTTCCAATTTTGCAGCAAGTTTACATTTGGTAGTTATTATAACATTGCAAAAATTATACCAGTTCAATTTAAATGCATATTTACAATGTTAATTTGCGTACAAGTTATAATTTCTAATATGCGTTAAAATTTCAAGGATATTTCATTTTGTAATTTATTAACGTAATGTTGTGTCAAAAATAATTCAATATTACATTGTAATGTTGCGAAACTAAGATCAGAGCAAATCAGAGTAATATTGCATTAGGCTTTCGTAACATTGCATGTTCAGTGGGAATGCCATGTAGTATTGTATTATGGAAGCGCGGAAGCAGCGCGTTTTCTGCCCCTGACTAAATATTGATTAAATTAAATATTAGCTTTATTTGGTATATTTTATCACATTCATTCATTGACTGCCTTTTGTAAACGCTGATTACTTTTTCAACCATTTCAGGAATCCTCATATGTTGGATTCCAAAACTCAACTCAGCTAATAATCATAATCATTTACTAAAATGATTCAGCACTTTTAACCAAAAAAAGCATAATAAAAACCGTTATCTAAGGATTAGTAATATTAAACATATTTTTATCAATAACAAAACCCTAGAAACTCTCTGGTTTGTTGAAGAAGAGTCTCTCACAGCAATGAAGACAAAACTAAAGGTAAGCAAGAGGCTAAAATAATTATTGATTTTTCCTTTCAACTCTGAGAGCTGGAAATTGCTATAAGAGACTTTTATCAAATTGGTTGTGGTTAAAACATACTCAGCACTCAGACATGTAAACCTATAAGAACACTTTCAGCCATGAATGCTATCATATAATTTCATGTGATATTTCTCCTTAATCCCGATATAGATGTCCAGGCCAAGCTGAACGTGTCGCCCCGTCCATTTCGCCAGCAAGTGCATTATCTCTCAATAATGCGTGATCTGTTCCTCCTATTTGTGCACCACAGAAGCACTTAGCTGTTTGCATTGCACCACCACATTCGCCAATAGCATAAGGATGTCCATTGGGACATTTATACCAATGTCCTTTGGTTAATTCCATAGCTCGGACTATTTCAATTCGTTCCGTATCGGAAATAATAGTCAAAGTCGGATTCACTTTAAAGGCAAATTCACGCAATTTTGGCTTAATCCAATCATCCAAAGAGTCAGTGTATTTTGAATTATTAAACAAAACATTTCGAATGGAATCTCTAAGATTCAGTATATCTGATTTGGTTATAGCGTTCTGGAAGCAAGTTGACTTGTGAATATTATCATATTGCACTATTCCTTGCAATCGTTTGATTTCCATTGTCAAATCGTTGACTTCTTGGTGAGTCACATGATCTTCCGAACGTAAAAGCACTTCCAAAAGCATTGTAAGCTGTTCAATTGACGCGTCGTCACTTTTGAAGATTTTTTGGACATCTTTGAAGCATTGGATAATATATGAGAGGGTTTGCGTTTTCGATTTAATTGCATTTAATTCCACTTTGTTTATGGGTTGACGGCGCTTACTTCTGACTGGTTGTAGACGGTTCAGTAGGGTATTGATAGTGAGTTTCAATGATGGGCAAGCTAAAAAAGGATGCACAAAATTAATATGTTTTCGTTTGGTAAAAGATACATTCATCAGGAGAGAAATAATTGAAAACAAAAAATGCCAAATGAATCTTAGCATCTTCCCTTTCTATATGATAACAATAATTCTAATACACAATCATAAACTATAAGTGGTAGTACTTTGCGATACTCTCAAAAAATAGACTTTTCACCCCTTGGCCGTTGTAATCCATACTATCAAGGTGGAAAAAAAAAGAAAGACAGGAGAAAACAATCTCTTCTTTCCTTTTTCTTATAATTATTGATATTCTATAACAATTTTGTTAGGAATTCATGAGGCATAGTTGCAAAGAAAACATCTCTTCATGTCAAAAATGATTTTCTCCCTAATGACGTTATCAAGGAATATGTGCGTGTAGTATTATAAATCCATCTACAGACCAATATCATCATTTGGTTGTAAAACTTAGGTAAGAAAAACAGAGCCAGAAAAGCAAACTAAAAACTATGAAGAGTAAAAGTAGTGGCAGATTAAGGATTAAGGGAAATTATGACAATCGCCGAGGATGAAAAAACGTGAAAGAAATTAATAAAAAATCAAATTAAATACTTTACCCATTGACACATATGTACATTTCTCTTTCAAATTTGATAATTCTTCAGAGAGTTTTGAACGCATATCTTCGTTTTCTGAAGCTGTTCCAAAAGACTTTTCTTTGGCTTTTATCACATCATCAATTGACTGTTTGATGTAATGACTAAATCTCTCAGTGCTTGAAATATTAGTGTTGCATCTGCAAATAAAGCAAAATATTAGCAAGTAGGTAGAGTATTTTCCATACAAAAGAACATTATCACGTTCAGCGCAAAAAAAAAAACTAAAAGTGGAATCTATCATTTACAATAGCATACCTTGGACACTTCTTATATCCAATTTCATTCTCATTTCCATTTAAGTGGCGTTCCAATGCTGAACTTTCTATAACATCACCGCAATCTTTAAGTTGAACAAAAATTGCATCTTCTGCATCCTCGGTTCCAAAGAAAATTTCTGTCAATTCTTCACGATTGCAGACACGGCATAATTTCGGACAAGGATCGCCGCAAAAACCAACACAGGGGTGGCCGCATTTCCGAACTTCTGGACATCTGTAAATGTAAATTATAGGTTTGCTTGGGTTATTTATTATTGGATTCTCTAAACTAGTGGAAATAGGGATGGTTGACTGGTGAGAAATTGAACACCACTTCTCAGACAACCGACAGTCAGTAGTTGTTTTGTCAACCAACTCCAGCAATCTTTGATAACGTACAGGGAAACAATGGGGACTGAAGAGTAAGGTTCATAGTGAAATAATCGAAAATATGTTAATTTTTTATCAATCAACCATTCTCTGGGTGATAGGTTTATTACTTATTCCAATCCAATGCCTACATAATTGTTATGCCTGGAAGGCAATGTTCTAGAAGTGGTCTTTCATTTCTGTTTTCTGTTAATCATATCGAAAATTTCTAAACTCAAACACATAAACCAGAAATAAATGAGGCATAAAAAAGTTTATACTTACTTTTCTTTACATGGTCCGACATCGCAAATTTCTCCACAAACCCTGCTACACCGGACATGCTCACATTTTCTATTACAACTGGCCATACATGGTGTACAAGGTTCGCCGCATTTTTTCTTGCACTTGCTATGGGCGCACTTCACTTGACAGGGCCTAGTACAAGGTTTGCACGCTTGTCGACAAGGAATCGGACACTCGTGGTTGCACACAAGAGGAACCCCGCATTTTTCGTTGCATCTCTTGTGAATACGACCCTGCATGCATTCACCGCACGTGCCGGAGCACTTGTGCGGAAACTCGCGGGTCTTGCAATCCAGTTCTGTACGACAAGGCTCTGTGCAGTACTTGAGAAGCATTTTGGGATCGGCTAAAAATAATTTAAAAATATTGAAAATCAAGCTCTTATAATATCTTTAAGTTGTCAAATAGATATAGTTATTTTCCTAACAAGTGCGCAAAGTGTTACTTTTCCGCACGCAAACACAGTTATACGAACGACGCGAAGCGGAGTTCGGATACGTGTTTGCGTGCGGAAAAGACACTTTGCGCACGTGTTAGGAACAAAATTTTTCCTACGAGCTTCATATCAGGTAGGTAATAACAAAAATTTAAAAAAAAAACGATAATTTGTTGTTATTTTTAATTAACTTGAAGGGAACCTATGCATTTATCAAAAAATTACATAACAAAAAAAAAATAACAGAAAATCCTCGTCGGAGCTGTTCATCTTAAAGCGTTTAAATTTGATGAAAAAGTTTGTAGACTTTTGCATATAAATAGAGAACAAATCTGACAATGTGTCAAAGTTAATTTATATTTGGTGTTTGTATAGATGTTGGCTGCTGATATAGAAACAAGAGGAAAAATTTGTCATCATGCGTCAAAGTCGACAGGTGCACTTATTGTTGCTTGACAATTATAAGTACTTTTCGGCACTCAGTGCGGATAAGGCCCGTATCCGCACTGAGTGCGGAAAAGTGTAACTTTGAGCCCGGAAATGCGTGCGGAAAAGTACTACTTTGCGCACGCTCGTAGGAAATAGTTATTTTCCTAACAAGTGCGCAAAGTGTTACTTTTCCGCACGCAAACACAGTTATACGAACGACGCGAAGCGGAGTTTGGATAAGTGTTTGCGTGCGGAAAAGACACTTTGCGCACGTGTTAGGAACTAAATTTTTCCTACGAGCTTCATATCAGGTAGGTAACAACAAAAATTTAGAAAAAAAAATTATTTGTTCAACTATTTTTAATTAACTTGAAGCGAACCTATGCAGTTATCAAAAAATTACATAACAAAAAAAAAAAAAATAACAAAAAATCATCGTCAGAGCCCTTTTTTTAAAACGTTTAAATTTGATGAGAAAGTTTGTAGATTCTTGCATATCAATAGAGAACAAATCTGACAATGTGTCAAAGTTAATTAAATTTGGTGTTTGTATAGATGTTGGCTGATATAGAAACAGAGGAAAAATTTGTCATCATTTGTCAACGTCGACAGGTGCCCTTATTGTTGCTTGACAATTATTTTTACTTTTCGGCACTCAGTGCGGATAAGGCCTGTATCCGCACTGAGTGCGGAAAAGTGTAACTTTGAGAACCGAAATGCGTGCGGAAAAGTACTACTTTGCGCACGCTCGTAGGAAATAGTTATTTTCCTAACAAGTGCGCAAAGTGTTACTTTTCCGCACGCAAACACAGTTATACGAACGACGCGAAGCGGAGTTCGGATACGTGTTTGCGTGCGGAAAAGACACTTTGCGCACGTGTTAGGAACAAAATTTTTCCTACGAGCTTCATATCAGGTAGGTAATAACAAAAATTTAAAAAAAAAAACGATAATTTGTTTAATTATTTTTAATTAACTTGAAGGGAACCTATGCATTTATCAAAAAATTACATAACAAAAAAAAAAAATAACAGAAAATCCTCGTCAGAGCTGTTCATCTTAAAGCGTCTAAATTTGATGAGAAAGTTTGTAGATTTTTGCATATAAATATATAGAGAACAAATCTGACAATGTGTCAAAGTTAATTTATATTTGGTGTTTGTATAGATGTTGGCTGATATAGAAACAGAGGAAAAATTTGTCATCATGTGTCAAAGTCGACGGTTGCACTTATTGTTGCTTGACAATTATAATTACTTTTCGGCACTCAGTGCGGATAAGGCCTGTATCCGCACTGAGTGCGGAAAAGTGTAACTTTGAGCCCGGAAATGCGTGCGGAAAAGTACTACTTTGCGCACGCTCGTAGGAAAAATATATATCTATATCTGCGTAGGTGAAGTCGTCGATTCTTATATTCGTATGTAGACTTATTGGACTTATGATTTCTTTTATTCTTCCAGACTTTTCGATTTTACGGTTTGTCGCGTGTCGCATATCTCAAAGATTCATTAGTATACGGCCGAACCACTCCATAATACCTATGTCAGGATTGCCAGGTATGCCAACTCAAGATCCTGCAATCCCTGCATTGCGCTTTGTTGTGCTCAAGGTTATTTGAGAGAAGGAGGTTGCCTGATAACTTTATGACGTCATCTGGGGTGCCGATACATAGTGCAAATCTCCATAAGGCACCTCAGATGCGTCATCAAGTTACCCATTACTAGACAACCTTATATTGAATATGTTCCATACTTTAAGTTCACCCTGTATATTCAAAAAAGAAATATATATAACTATCATTTCCCAATTTTCTCATCTCGCAGGGGTAGGGGCCCGGTAAAATTTTCGAACACGGGCCCGAAGTATCGTCACTAACTGGACGCAAAATTTTATGTGAGCAGAAACATGTTCTTGCTGCCAAAATTACATTTTTGCGGAAATACCTCCAATATAAACATTCAAACGAAAATATCAGATTCGTGTATTTAGATGAAACTTGGATCTACCAAAACGGATCTCAAGTTCGTCGATGGATACATGAATCTGATATGAAAAGCAACCCATCCAAAATTAAGTCAGAGGGGAAACGTTTTACGATTTTGCATGCATGCGGGGAGTAGTTCTGGGTTTTTAGATGGGTGTGATTTTTTTCTAGATTCAAGAAACAATGACAGAGGCTATCACAATACCATGAACGCGGACATCTTCCAAAAATGGATCGTTGATCAACTAATTCCTGCATTGAATTTATCTGAAGAGAAATGTGTAATAATCATGGACAACGCTCCATACCTATCATTCAAAGCAGAAGGATAAACCACCTTCCTTCTCTTCAAAGAAAGACAAAATACAGGAATGGTTGGTTAAACATAACGTAGACTTCGACACAAAAATGACCAAAAAACAACTATGGGACCTTACTCAACCATTTCGGAATAGACCAAAACAATACAAAATTGACGACATTTTGAAAAGCCACGAACACGAATTTCTTAGATTACCTCCTTATCATTGCCAATATAATCCTATTGAAATGGCATGGGAGTTTTGTAAGAACTTCTATAATAAAACTATAACTTCGCAGCCACCATCCACGGATAGGGTTGCGAGGGTATGGCGTGAGTCTCTTTCAAAATGTACCTCAGACATGTGGACGAATTTTTGTAGACATTGTGACAGACTTATTTCAGAAGACTGGACAAAATACATGGGAGACTTACCTTTCAAAAATATTCCTCCTTTCATTATTTCTCTTGGAGAATCCGATTCCGAGTCGGATTCAGAAATGTTGTCTGAATCTAAGGAGTTATCTAATTCTTCAAGTTGATGGGTGGAAGCTGAATAAGACGGACTAAAAACGGATCTGAATTTTTTTTTTTTTTTTACGGATATGCGCACTCGCAAGGAAATGTCCTATCACGCTCGAGAAGCGGCAAGTGCGCGGAAATGTCGGTGTATGTTGGTCTGGAAACGGTTCAGGTTGTAACCTGCAGGGAAAACCGTCGCAGGGAGTTTATTCCACAGCGATGCTGTTCTCCAGAGATATGAATTCTGATATAATGAGGTTCTTGGTGCCTCTAGTTTGACAGTAAATTCATGGTTACCGTCTGTTTGACGGGTTCGCCTGGTAGGCGCTACTCTCGGTGGAATCATACGTGCCAACTCTCCAGAGCATTTTCCGTGATAGTACCTGTAGAAGAGAGATAAATCGCCCACAGATCTGCGATGTTCGAGACCATCCAAGTTACGAGTAAGTGCGGGGTCATTGATCAGCTTGATAGCTTGTTTTTGCACGGTATTCAAAAGCATTAAGGTATGTTTGGGTGCTGCACTCCATATATGTGAGCAGTACTCCATAGGTGGTCGAATCTGGGCTTTGTAGAGTGTCAGCAATTGGCTTGGTGTGTACAGATGTCTTGTACGAAATAGCACCCCCAGCTTTTGGGAGGCCCTTTTAGCAATATCTGCCACGTGACTGTGCCAAGACATGTTGGTCTCTGCAGTAACCCCCAAGATGTTCAACTGACTCTGTAATGTGACAGCACTTCCAGATAGCATGATGTTTGGCTCACCGGTGCTGGTCTTTTTTGAAAACAGAGCTGCTTGGGTTTTCTGCGCGTTGAACTGTACAAGGTTTTTGTTACCCCAGTCCTCTATTATCTCCAGGTCGTTATTTATCTGCGATATTTGAGTTAGTCTAAGATGATGGAATTCACGTGCGGAAAGACCTGTGGGTGGTATGAGTGAGGAGACTACATTGCCATCGTCTGCAAAGCAATAAAGTGGATTTACTGTTTTATCTATGAGGTCATTTATGTAAATCAGGAAAAGAGTTGGCGAAAGGATTGCTCCCTGTGGCACACCAGCATTTATTTGGTAAGAGTTGGAGTGAGTTCTGGCCATCCAGTGCAACATAAATGGATCTGTCCTTTAGGTAACTTTCAAACCAAGTACAAAGTTTCGGCGATAATCCCATTGCTTTCAGCTTGTTGAGCAGATTTTTATGCCAAACTTTGTCGAATGCTTTAGATATATCTAAGGCAATTGTCCTTGTTGCACCCCGCAACTCAATCGCTTTTTGCCATAAGTGAGTGACGTATGTAAGTAAATCGCCAGTTGACCTATATTTTCGAAATCCGTATTGCTTATCGTTGATAATTTTGTACTTTTCCAAGTACTTGGTTAGGTGATTGTTCACAACTCTTTCCATTACTTTTGATATCACCGGAAGTAGAGCAATTGGTCTATAGTTTAACGGATCTGTCTTTTTTCCTTTCTTTGGAATGGGTTGTACTGCGGCAGACTTCCATGATGATGGATATACTCCTTGCCTGTAAGACAAATTGAATAATTTTGCGAAAGTTGGGGTGAGTTCGTTGGCGCAATTTTTGAGTACTATTGCGGGAATGCCATCCGGACCCATTGCTTTGTTTGTATCCAGCTTTTTTAGGGATTTTCGTATTTCTCTGT